TCTATAAATTATAATATCATTTTTTTTTTTAAAAAGGTCATTACATATAAATCTATAAAAACCAACAAAATTTACCATTATTCTAATAGAATGTTCAAAATGTCAATTTTTTTGAGACAGTAAGATCATGAGACCACTTTTCTCTAGTAAAATATTCTAATATTTCAGTGTTCATAAAAATATAATATATGTAATATTCTAATATTATAATATTTTAAAACATAGAACATTATTCACATAAAATTATTATACATGAAAATACAACCTATAAAATTATTCTATTAGAATATTAACATTATTCTAATAGAATATTATAAATGTACAGAAAACCTATAACATTACTCTATTAGAATATTGTACATGAACTATAACAAAAAATGAACATTTGATCATAAAAAGTATGATATTTCAGATTGGTCAAAGCATAATTATTTTTTAACCAGTACTATTATTTTGTGAAACATTCACTGGCCATTGAAACAACCATAGCTATTGTTCAAAACTAAAAAAAGATAACCAATATTTAAACGAACAAAACACTACTATGTCATTCATAATCAAAGACTTTCAAATATTCTAAAAAAATTATTCACGTCCTTCCAGTATGTTTCTTGTATCGATCCATTCCTTTATCATTTTTAATGACCATCCTTATCAACTCTTCCCTATTCCTTTGCTTTGTCAGTTACTTTCTTATGGAATTGGAGTCTGATTGGTCAAAGCATAACTATTTTGTATGCTTCTTATTCGGTAGAAAACCTTCTTTACCCAAGTCATTATTTCACATTTCCACTTATTGTTCCAGAATAAATTTCCATCTGTCGCATTAAGAACACATCAGAATCGCATTAAGAACACATCAAAATAAATTTCATTAGCTTTCAATGTGTATCAAACACTAATCCTAGCTACAGTAAATAATTTCAAAAGTATTTAACTGAAACTACAATAAAGAAGTTCATTTCTAGCCCAAGCTATAGTGAATCCGCATTAAACACTAACCATAGCTACAATATAAATTTCAGAAAAGTAATTCCTTAATTAGAATAAATTGTTTAACAACTTCCTAAAGCCTATTACAAGAGATGATTTAGAATCTACATTATGTAGAATCTAAATCTGAATATAATATTATCAAACTAAAATATAAATAGATGAATTCAATTATGTCAGGATAGAATAACAAATTCTCAAAATGTATTTTAGTTTTGACTTATCAGAGTAAGCAGTAACATCTGGTTAATCAATAAAATAACATCTCAAATCAAATTTATGAAGTAACACCTAACTTTACAAATCATAATACCTAGAATATTAAGTTACCAAAGACTATTTTACTAATATTTTTACTGGATCATCTAACTTATCAAACAAAGTAACATCTGAGTCAAATTAAGAAGTAACATATTACTTATCAAACTAGAATACTTATAATATCAAATTATCAAATAACATTTCACTAAATATTTACTAGATAATCCAAATACTCAAACAAAACAACATATAAAATCAATTTATGAAGCAAGTTATGTTTGCATAACATTCTATCATTTTCAATAACAATTTTATTGCAGAAAATATGAAATCGATACAGAGTGCATTATGTTGAACACCTAGTGGGCGATCACTAAATTTACCAAACACCTAACTGACACTAGAAGTATGAAACTAATAAGATAAACCAAACAAACTAAGATATTAAATCAAATTATAATTCAAATTCCAAGAATATCTCTACAGATTTTGTGAATAACTTCATTTATGCATAATAACATAGCTTGGATTGTAGATTTATTAACATTGAAATTGTTAACAGCCAAAATGAGTCAATGTAACACCAGAATAGGCGATATTCACTGGGCCAAGAGGAGTAAAAGCTTCTACAGCCAGTTGACCAAAATGAGGATCCCAAATTGCATGAGCAATAGGTCTTACATGTAAAGGGTCCTGTACCCATGACTCAAAATTTCCTTGCCAAGCTACATGAAAGAGATTTCTATCTTTCTTAGTTTCACGTTGGCCTAATGAATTGAATATGAATAAAAGTCAGTCTTTTAGTAAGCGTATATAAGTAGCTGTTTAGTGTATAAGCAATTCTTTAGTGGTCGCACCGGTACGATGGAGGTTGGTTGAAGATGATGTTACGCGGCGTTCAGAACCAGTCTTGAAGTGAATGAATTAGAAAGAACGAAGCCGCATTGTATCGAATTAAACCACATGCTCCACCGCTTGTGCAGGCCCCCGTCAATTCCTTTGAGTTTCGGTCTTGCGACCGTACTCCCCAGGCGGAGTGTTTCACGCGTTAGCTGGGCCTTTTTCATTTTAAAGAAAGCATTGAAGAGGAGGTTTAAAAAAAACGACTAGTAAGAGCAGGAAAGAAAACTCAATTGAGAGATGGGATTTATATGAAATATTGTACTGTGATTTGAAATCTAGTTTAGAAATCTTTCTATCTTATTTGCTATATTGATTGTAGTGAAATCTTGCATAAGAGGATAGTAAGTTACAAATTCTATTTTGTTTTTTCCTTCCTTTCTTCTTTTTCGTTTCGGATTGAAAGAGGAAGAGTTGAGTAAATGAAAAATCCAAAGGAGGTTCATGACCAAGGGTAAAGATGTGCGAATACCGGTTCTTTTGGAATGTACCGCTTCGCCTGATGGGAACTTCCCCCATATTGCTATCAATGTCTTCATGTCGCACGACCTCTTAACATTACACCACTGCTCATTCGCAATGACTACCACAAGAAAGTAGCCCCTATCTCTAAAGGGGCTTATGCACTCCACGACTTTCTTATGTTATTATAAGACTGAATTTAGCTTCCAACCCTAGTCAGCAAGCTTCAAAAGTCCTTTCTCCTTTCTTTTCCGAAACTCAAATAGAAAACTCTCCCCATGGGACCGGGTTTGAGGTTGTCATACCACGAAATGCTGGATTGTGCCCTCCGAGCAGAAGGTGTCCTCAGGGCTTAGTTGGGTTTGTTTGAGTCTAAATCCTGATTACGTCAAGTGGAGAGGCCTTAGAGTGAAGTTAGTTGGGCTAGGGTTGTCATCCCTCCCCTTGGATGGCCTAGCTGTTGGAAAAATAAGAGTTGTGAACGTAGGAACTGTTGGCAATAACCGTTGGTAGACTTCTTGTTTCCGGTGTAGATGTTATCAACTCGGTAAGGCGAAGAACAACCAAAAATTCCCGATAAAATGAAAGATTTCGATTGATTCTTAAATGGGCCTTTTTAATCTTTTTAGGTTTATGCTCTACTCCGGGTAAAGATCCGCCCGATTTTGATTTAACATGATGAGAAGAATCCTTCCTCAACTACGAATCATGAGAAGAAGTAACAGTTGAAGGATTGTCAGAACCATGATTCAAGATCAGAATATGAATAAAAACGTTTAAAATCAAAATGACAGTGAATCAAAATCGATTTTTAGGGTTTTATTGGGGGTTATGGAAGATCGGTGCAAAGTAGAATCAGAATGAGAAGAAATCTCATAGAAGACACAAACTTAGCGAAATTAACTCTTTTTGAGAAACATTGAGTTGATTTGGAGAATGGCTAAAAATGTGGATACATCTAGGGTTTTGATTTGACCGACTAGGGTTTTCCAAATTAGAATATGTAGAACAAGAATTATTCAGCAGGTTAATTACACAATCTGAACTATAAAGACTTGAATTAATACCTGTTTTGCGAAGTGAAGTAGTGTATAATCATAATATGCTTCTGTAGAATGAGGCATTTCCCTGATTGTTTCAACGTGTTTATCATGGTGAAGTGCAAGCCATATTAAAATCAAAAACAAAATTTTGAATTTAGAAAGACATGAAAGTTTATGAATCGGTTTCTAGGGTTTTGAATGCACAAATCTGAATCGAGATAAAATTTGAGTTCTTCTGTGAAGCGGGTTTTTTTTTGGAAGAAGCAAGATGTAACATGAATAGATATTGAATGACGGTGGATTATTTTGACGGATAAAAGGTATATTGTCAAAACTACCCCTCCGTGTCCTTCCTCTAATCCTGAAGTTTGATCAAATTGCAAAATTGTCACCGCCTCTATTGTTTTAATTTGAGTTAATTCTACCCGTAGATTATTGTAGATTAGTGGTTCAGATTCTGTCCCCATGTCTTACAAAATATCATTGTCTTACATGAACTCAACCCTATATATATATATATATATATATATATATATATATATATATATATATATATATATATATATATATATATATATATATATATTCCAGATTTGTTGGGGTTCTTGATTTCATAATTTGTGTATACACAGTTAATTTAATCATGATTAATAAATTTAAAATTTAAAAATATTATCGTTAAATTATACTATAACTAAATTACTAAAATCATTTGCAATATTTTCCGCAACGATATGTTCTTTGTCGTTTCATATTTTTTCATAATCAGTTGGCAACAACTATTGATTGCATATTCTCAATTGCTTATTAAATAAACATATTTTATCTCCTACAATCACTTTTACAGACCTACGATTATTCTTCTCAAAATAACTTCGTTATGAAAATAAATATGTAATTGGTGGTCATGCATTTAAGATTACAGCTCCAAACATGTAACTTCAGTCGACCCTAAGTTTTTGTCAGACATCTTCAAAGTATATAACAAAATCAATACAATGTCCACAATAAATTTTGGTTGATGAATATTTTGGATTAACAACAATTCTTATCATATTTTGAAATGGAGACCCAAACTATGTTTCATTTTAGTTAATAAATGATATCAACCAAATGTCTATTAATGTGTTGAGATTTTTGGATGATTCTGTAATAATAAATACCAATTTATAGATAACGTTTTAAATTTTTTAAATTGGTTAATTATAATTACATTGAATATTGTGAAATTTATATAAGTTTATTGATTTTAAATGGGTATCAACAAAATTCTCTCATAATATTTTTGTTTAAAAAACTTATAATTTTTTTTAAAATGTTAACGAGGTATGTGAGACTCAAGCTAAAACAAGTAACTGTCAATTCAGTTAGAACACTATGTTTAAAATAAGCATCAACTCATTCATTGCATAGCCAACTAATTACATTAAATCGAGTAAATTTAAACAACAATGTGGATCCCAACCCGACCCAAATAGGAAGAACTCTAACCCTAACCTTAACCCTTTTCTTTCTTGATAGCAAGACTTTTTCTAAACAGACAAACCTTAACCACCAAATCCGTAAAGAGTACGGCCTTGCCTCTTCAACGCATACACGACATCCATGGCTGTAACAGTTTTCCGGCGAGCATGTTCTGTGTATGTAACGGCGTCTCTGATCACATTCTCCAAAAAGATCTTCAATACTCCACGAGTCTCTTCGTATATCAAACCACTGATACGCTTCACACCGCCTCTCCTCGCCAGACGACGGATCGCCGGCTTCGTGATCCCCTGAATGTTGTCACGGAGAACCTTCCTATGACGTTTCGCTCCTCCCTTTCCCAATCCCTTTCCTCCCTTTCCACGTCCTGACATTTTCAAATTGATTGAAAGTCTGCAATCGAAATATGTTTCAAATCAGGGTTAATGTAATCGTCCTGGATTATAAAGCGATAAAACTTGGGGAAAATTTGAGGGAAACACACTTACCTTAATAAAAGCTTCTGTAGAGGAGGGGAAACGAAGAACAGACGATGAAAAACTGAAACGAGGGGATTTGAATATATAAGAGGGGAGTGGGGATGAGCTGGATTCTTGATGTGTTGGGATCCGCAGATGTAAGTGAATGGACGAGTGAGATGAGGGGGCAATCACGCGGATATGTGACATGGCAGATGTGCTTTTTGTTTGGGAAAAAGACGGGTTTGAGTGCTTAATTTTTTATTATTTTAATGAATTTAATATAAATTAATTTTAAATTTTATTTTATCTTTTATATTAATCATCTAAATCGTTTAAAATCATATAATTTTTTGTTCGTTTATTTTTCAATTTTTTGATATTTTATTTTTTTATATAATTTAATTATTGTTTTTTAACATTTTTTCGTTTATTTGAAGCATGCTTTTCAAAATTATTTGAATTTGTAACTTTTTTTTTACAGCTTAGTAATGATTTTTTGTAAAGCTTTCTTAAAATGTATATATATATATATATATATATATATATATATATATATATATATATATATATATATATATATATATATATATATATATATATATATATAACAAATTAGAAGGTAAAAGATCAAGTTACACCGATAAACCGATAAGTATTTTGAATGGTAAAAATATATTAAACATAGAATTACATAAGTAAAGTGTTTGGTTTATTCAAGAAAACAAAAAAGTTTCCAATATGAAGAAGTTATGATTTATTCAAGAAAACAAAAAAGTTTGCACGCAGCCGCACCCCCATACAAAGGGCACGACACGCTTCTGATCGGCCATAGTCTAGCAACACATGTCACCATAGAAAAGTCCCCACGTCACCACTTCCGATCAAGGGTGCGACGCGTCCCCTTTTCTGGCCTATAAATTCACGAATTTTCATTCATTTTCTTCACACTCTTCTCCAATTCCCAATAGATTAATTTCTAGCCTTTTAACCATTTTCTCCCAAGTTCCCGGCCCCTTCGACGAAGCCCTACAGTGTCAAATGGTCGGTGAATAGAAGCTCCCAGACAGTGACGAGTCTAAAGCAGAAACATATGTGGTTCAATATTTAAATAAACCGATATATAAATCAAAAGAAACATATGTGGTTCAATATTTAAAGAAACATATGTGGTTCATCAGGTGGTTGAATATATAAATAAAAATGTTACATAAATATACATTTAAATCAAAAGAAAAAACTAACATCCGTCTACTTTGCTCAAACAAAAAAACATATATCAGTTTTCTGAATCTTCTTTCTTCATTTAACATCTTTCAACCATAGAAACTTGATGACAATTTATCACTAACCTGCAATCAAAATGTTTTTCTTGAAAAAGAAAAATAAGAAAGATATTACAAGCAAAACATTGATGTTTGGAAAGTTACATTCAAGATTGAGTAATACATACAAATAACATATAAAGATCAAATGAGCATCTGTATTTAAAGAATGAATAGAAAAGATTCATTTGTTTTGGTTGGAAAAAAAATCATATTACAATTACCATTGATGCGACATACCCTATTTCTTCAAATCATAATATTTGGATCGTGAATGCTTTAACTATACGAAAACTTTTGAATCATAATATCTTCAACCAAATGACGACTTTTTGTAAGAAAAATATACTAATATAACTACATATATAATAAGAGAATGCAAAACATTATTGGAAATTTATAAATATCATAAATGCATATCCATTATTTTTAATTAATTATTGCTTTGAAGAAACACAAACATAGAAACATATACACAATATTTAATTAAATATTATCTATTTCATTTTCCATAACATATTATCGATAGAATGAATCTAATCTAATTTACATGAAAGTTTCAACCACAACATATAATGATTGTCTTAAAAGAATACTTAAACCAGTAAAAATATAAAAAATATATATATAGATAACATCTATATGATCTAATATATATTGACGATTAAAGCACAATATACAACAATTGTATTAAAAGAATCCAAAACCAAAAAAAACATAAAAATAATTAGTATATAACAAACTTACAAATTAAAAGCTATACATAATAATATATCTTGAAAAGTAGTCATAAGACTTCAAACCAACTCAAAAACTTCTAAGCTTGTTTTCTTTATAAAGTTTGTATGTGACTTGTATGCATCTCTAATCAAAAGATTAATCTTTTTATAGTAAGCTTTTCATTAAGTGTTTATTAAATATAATATAAGTTATAAAACCTTTGAGTGTTAAATCATTATTAAGAAGACGTTTGAGATGTATTAGTTAAAAGATGGGGGTTTCAAATGAATATGGTTTGAGCAAAAATGATTCAATATAGTTTTGGGAGTTTCAAATCCATGAGGTTCAAGAAAAAATGCTAGCTTTATAAGTATGTATGACTAGGCGAATGCCCGCGCGTTGCGCAAAAACACCTATATAGTTGAAGTTTTTACAAATATATGATTTTTTAAATATAACAATAACATTGTTGTTAAATTTGATATAATAATTTGTATATACTAAATTGATTATTTTGAATTATATGATAATATATACATTTATTATAATTTCATAATCTCAATCGTTTGAATGACTTCTACCCGCGAGTTACACATGAATAAAATTAAATATAATATATGATTTGATGTTATTTATAGTTGTTTTTATTGTTAATTAATTTTTTAAAATTTATTTGCTTAATGTTTTAACTTCTATCATTATAATTATTTAAAACATCAACCATTATTTTTTTATTTTAAAGCTAACAATATAATCATTTATATAGAGTTGTTTTTAACTATTGTTATTATAAGTTATTTTATGCTACTTATTTGGAAACTTTTGGCGATTATAAAAATATATTTAAGAAATATTTTAGTTAAATTGAAATTACAATTTAGTTTTTGTTTTTACCACTACAATTTATCACTTTTAACTATTTACGAAACATTCTTTAGTTTTTTTAAATGGAATTGAAATTTATATTTGAGTTGACATTGTAATACGCAGAAACATCTATATAGTTGAAGTCTTTACAAATATATATTTTTTAAAATATAACACTAACGCTGTTGTTAAATTTGATATAATAATGTGTATATTAATTTGATATAATGTATTGATTATTTTGAATTATATGATAATATATAAATCTATTATAACGTCATAATCTCAATCATTTTAATGACTTCTACTCGCGAGTTACACATCAATAAAATTAAATATTATATATGGTTTAATATTATTTATAGTTTTTATTTTTAACTAATTTTTTAAATTTTATTTGCTTAATGTTTTAATTTCTATCATTATAATTATTTAAAACATCAAACATTATTTTTGATTTTAAAGGTAACAATATAATCATTTATATAGAGTTATTTTTAACTATTGTTATTATAAGTTATTTTAAACTACTTATTTGGAACTTTTTAACGATTATATAAATATATTTAGGAAATATTTTAGTTAAACTGATATTACAATTTAGTTTTTGCATTTATCACTATAATTTATCATTTTTAACTATTTATAAAATATTATTTGGTTATTTTAGTGGAACTGAAATTTATATTTAAGTTGACACTATAATGTTATATTTAAATTAACAATTTAAGTATTTTGTCCAAATTGTTCAAAAATTATAGCTTTAAACTGATAATTGTTTACATGCAACAACAGTTGAAATCAAATAAATTAAGTATAATATGTTAAAATTTAAAGACATAACTTTATAAATAAAAGTAAAGATATTATTTTAAAATTGAAATTTAGTCTATTTATGATTACACTTTAGGTTTGATATTTATTTAACCTTATTAACCAACTTACAATCATTATTAGAAATACATTACAAGTCATCACTTTTAAATATTTATAAAATAATCTTTGGGTTGTTTAAGTTAAATAAAATTTATATTTAAGTTGAGCCTATAATATTATATTTTAATTAATAATTGAAGTATTTTATACAAATTATTCAAAAACTATACCTTTAAAGTGATAATATTAAAACTAATAAATTAAGTATAATATGTTAAAAGTTAAAAAATATAATTTTATAAGTAGAATTAAATATATTATTTTTATACTGAAATTTAGTTTATATATGAATACATTTTAGATTTTATATTTCTTTAAACTAATTACCAAATTATAATTATTATTATAAAGAAATTGAAAAGTTATGGGAGTTTCAAATGAATGTGGTGAAAGGAAAAAAAGAATGGGGGTTTCAAATGCATGAGATTCAAAAAAAAATGCTAGTTTTATAAGTATGTATGATATACAAGGTGCGAACCATATATGACTCTACGTTTGTTGTGGTATATAAATAATATTATCACATGATAATAAATAATATAAGTATTATTTGGGAAAAAGGATAAAGGAAATATAAATGCTCTATGTTAATATTATGACAAAGTTGCCTAAAATAGAGTTAGTATTTCAAGAAATGTTCATAAGTTGGGTAGTCCTGCCTATTATGGGAATAAGACTTATAAATGATGCTTAATTCATTTAAGTTTGAATAGTAGGTAGATTCTATTGGATTAGGTGTCTAAACTCATAACTATAATTGGTATGTACTTGAATTGATAGTAACAATGTCCTTTTGGTTTGCCTTCAAACCTGACAATTGAATAGGATAATTGTTGGAGAGAGAATAATGATTTATTGATTTATTACTTGGTTAATAAATTAATTTGAAATCAAGATAAATGATTTATTAAAGGATTGTGGATATAATATATTAATCAGAAATCATATTGTTTAATTAATATTTAATCATACATTAATTTGGAATTATTTTTGGGATTAAAGGAATTAATTGAAACTATAGGGGCTAACAGTGACAATGTTCAAAAGTTGAGCATTTAGCATTCTAGAACCTCCCTTAAAGGTGTGGAACGAAATCTAGAGTGCCCTAGGGTTTCCTTGGGCTCTAAGGGTGCCTTGGAAGCCTTAGGAAGGAAGTTAAAGGATTGGAGTTATCTAAGATACATCTGCCTTATCCTAAACTTTCCTTATCACCTATATAAACCCCTATAGGGTTGGATTTTGTCCCATGCACTCCAAAAAGGCTTAGAGTCGAATTTTCACTTCCCTTCTCTATCTTCATAGTAATCCTTGGTTGTTAGGTTTGTTTGTGAGTCATTAGAGGCACAACACTTGTGGCGCTTGCCAAAGTTCAAGATCTTCAAGGATTTGATTGTTATTACAATATAACAATAAATGTATGTATCCTAACCCTAATTATATGTTAATTTCGAAAATTAGATGTGCCTCATAGGGTTTCTAGTTTTTGTGTTCAATGCTTGTATGTCTAATAGTGAAAAATATAGATTCTTAAATTAGGGTTGCATGCACACATAGGATTGTTTGCTATGTATAAAATCCAACAACATCATGTGAATGATATATGCGTTAGGAATAGAGTAAAATTATGTCCTATGCTACTATAAGGTGTCAATGTACGGTAGCTCCGTACGGGAGTACATCTTAGTATTTCTATTGGATGACCAGAAATTGTGGGTCCAGATCAGACAACTGTAACAATATGTCTAGTCATCTCCCATGGTAGGTGACAACACTTGACCATTCTAGGCGGTTTTGTGAATTACGTTGCTAGTGTAGGCTCATAACATATAGACGTAGATGAAGAGTAAATTCATCAAATACTCTGAGGGCTCGGGTGCTTTTATGACTTTCACCAACCATGGACGACCCTAGTAGTGTAGTCAAGTCCTATTTTTTAACCGGTTTATCTTCTTGATAACCGTGGACTAGGATCTGTGAGGATCGTT